TGAGAATACTGTAGAATCAAACAACGTTAAATCCCACCAACAGTACCAGTAATACCTGCAGAGCTTTTAACTCGATGAAGACACTTCCAAAGGTTTTCTCTTTCAAGGCCATTCCCTTCATGATGATCAACCACTGTTCTAGAGAAACTACAAAAATCTATGGAAGCAGAACATCACAAAATCAACACCCCTCCCCCAAATGTAAAGCTTAGAGTGATATTTGGTAGTAAGAAATAAAAAGTTTGTTAGAAAATTTCACTATTTCAAGAATTTAGCCAATTCTTAGTCTTAACATAACCAGTTCATCAACTATTCCCTTGCGGGCAAGGATTCAATAGTTTTGCTATGTTTTCTGCAATGAGGCATTTGTTTTTATACTAAAATATCTGAATTGCTCTGAATAAAGCTGGAAATTATGTCCCTTAAAATAAACAAATTAAGCACCAATGTTTTTGTAAGATATTTACATCTATCAAAGACATTCGGTAGACTGATTCCCCACTCTTGTTTCAACCCCAAAACTTGTTTGTATTCAAAATTAATTCTGCCAATGCATATTCATATTTAAACAAACTTATAATAAAGGGAATAATATTATATAACAAAGGGCAAGGTCACCAGAGTTCAACTATGTTATTTTTCAGATCGGATTCAAAATGGCTGACTGGCGGCCATTTTGTTTTGATGAATGTGCTTCTAGAGCCATATCTCTGACATGCTTTGACTGATTATGTTCAAATTTTATATATTTTATATATACATGTATTCAAAATGGCTGATTTTGTTTTAATTAATGCTGTTCCAGAGCAATATTTCTCAATATGTACTCATTTGACGATCAAATGTCAATCATTTTAATGTTAAACAATCATCATAATCATATTCCTGACGTGGATATATTCATGCTATATTACTATAAACAAAATTATATATCTTAAATTCGATAACTAACAGGGCCTGTGCATTGCTTGGCTTGTTTGCCAAGCTTCTTGTTTGAAAAGCTAATCTTAATGTGTGTTCGATATGCTCAGCACATGGGAGTTCTTTCTAAGCTTTCTTTGATTTATCATCACACGACTTATGATTTGTATTATTGTTGTGAAACAGAAATGTTGTTTCTCAAGTATCTTTAATTTATATCAAAGATTTTTTAGTGTTAAACAGGTTACTAAACATCAAATACATTTTAACAATGATCAAACTGAGTGTACTACAGTTATTTGTTAAATGCTACACTAGTACATTGTGGTGATTACATTCACCAAATGTACTTATCACCAAGATCATCCAACAGTAAATTGTATATTTTTTTCAGAAAAGCAAAGCTGAGAGTAGTCATTGACTCCCATGTGGGAGTGGGAGTCTTTGCAGTTAGTGTGTCTGTGTGTGTGTGCATGTGTGTGCGTGTGTATGTGTGTCCGACTGTTCCACTGCTATCTCAAGAACCATACATCGGTTTTTGATGAAACTTGGTGCATAGATGCTCTGGGCCAATGCGCAGATTTGATTAGGTTTTGGTAAAAATCTATGCTCGTAAATTACCTAATTTGCATGATAATTAGCTAATTTTTAGCTGTTCTATGACTGTTCCACTGATATCTAAAGAACCACTCATTGGATTTTGATGAAACTTGGTACATAGATGCTCTGAACATATGCGCAGATTTGATTAGTTTTTAGTAAAAATCCGTGCATATTAATTACCTAATTTGCATGATAATTAGCTATTTTTTAGTGGTTCCATGACTTTTCCACTGATATCTAAACAACCACTCATTGGATTTTGATGAAACTTGGTACATAGATGCTCTGAACTAATGCTAGGTTTTGATTAGTTTTTGGTAATAATCCGTGGCTACTAATTACCTAATTT